CTTGAGCGCCTTCTTGGCAAGCGCGAGCGTCTTGACCTTCTCCTTGAACTGATCGAGGAGCGACTTAAGCGACACGAGGTTGTCCTCGGTCGTCGTCAATGCCGTCGACGTCGTCTCCAGTTCGCGCGCTAACGCCGCCTTCGCGTCGCGTTCGCTCGACAAGTCGGCGTTGACAGTAGCCGTCGCTTCGACTTGCGCGGCGAGTTCGGCCGCCAGCGCCGTCTTGGCACTCGTCTCCGTAGCGAGGTCCGCCTCGACAGCCGCCTTGGCAGCCGCTTCAGCAGAGAGCTCGGCTTCCAATGCAGCCTTGGCAGCTGCTTCGGCCGCCAGATCGGCTTCAAGGGAAGTTTTGGCCTCGAGCTCGGTGGCGAGGTTAGCTTCAAGCGCAGCCTTGGTAGCCGCTTCAACAGCGAGCTCGGCTTCCAACGCAGCCTTGGCCTCAAGCTCCGTGGCAAGCTCGGTTTCCAGGGCTGCCTTGGCGTCGCGTTCGGCAGCGAGCTCGGCCGTCGTCGTGGCCACGGCAGCTTCGGCACTTTGGAGGAGTGCGACAGCCTCCGCGTGCGTGGACGTGAGTGACGACAGTTCTTGGCGCCCGACGGCGAGGTCCGACTCGAGCGACGCCTGCGACGACGACAGCGAGTCCACCGAGCCCTTGAACGACTCGACGAGGTCTTGGAGCGTTGCAATTTCATGCGACTTGTCGGCCACGAGCGCGTCCAGCGCCGTCTTTTCTTCCGTCGCCGCCGCCAGCGTTGCGTTCAGCGACGCCAAGCTCGCCTCGAGGGCCGCCATCGCGTCGTTGTGGGTGGCCGTCAGCGTTTCCTTCTCGTTGACAGCGGCCGCCAAATCGTCTTCGAGGCTCTTCTGCGCTGCTGTGAGCGTCTTGACCTTGTCCTTGAAGCGCGGGAGGAGCGCGTCGAGAGACGTGAGCTTGGCCGTCGCATTTGACAGCTCGTCGTTCTTGGCGGCGAGCTCGGCGCTAAGCAACGCGTTCTCCTCCGCAGATGCAGCCACATTGGCATGGAGCGTCTCAATCTTGGTCTCAAGTGCGTCGACTTGGGCCGCATGCAGCTCCTTGTACGACGCCTGCTCTTCGGTCAGAGCGTGCATCTGCGCGCTGAGCTCCGCCCGCGTCGAGTGCAGCGACGTCATTTGGTCGTGGAGCGCAGCCTCAAGGTCCGCAACCGCCGACGCGTGGCGGCCGTGCGTCTCGTTTAGCGTCGACGAGTGCTCGGCTTCCATGGCCGCCATTTTCTCGGCAATCGCAGCCGACTCGGCAGTCCACTTGTCACACGCCGCCGCGTGGTCGGCCACGGCCGTCGACAACTCGGCGGTGAGCGCTTCGTTCGACGTCGTCATGGCCGAGAGGTCCGACGAAAGTGCGGCGATCTCAGCGTCCTTGGCGACCTCCAGCGCCGCCATCTCGTCGCGCAAGGCAGCCGTACCGGCTTCGAGCTCGCCAATGCGACCGTGCGCGTGCGCCAGCGTCAATTGCAGTGTCGCCGACGCCGCTTCTTGCGTCGCGACCGTGTCTTGGAGTGCTGCCTCCGACGTCGTGGCCGTCTCCAAGGCCGCAGAAGTGTCTGCCAAACGCGTCTCGAGCGCAGTCTTGTCCGCATCGAGCACCGCCATCGCACTCGTGGCGGTCGCCAGCTCGGCCGTCGCCGCTTCGTGGGCTGCGGTGGCCGAGGCCACATCGCCTTCCAATGTCGCGCGCGTAGCTTCCAGGTCCGCAATGGTGACGTGAAGCGCTGCCGCGTCGGCTGTCGTCGCCACCACGTGGCTTTCGTGGACCTCCCGAAGGCGCTCGAGCTGGCCCAGCGCCTCTTCAGACGCGGCCGTGAGTGCATCGACCTGGCTGTTGGCGGCGTCCAGCTTGGCCGTCTCGGCAGACAAGTGCTCCTCCAACGAAGCAACCTGCGCTTCGAGGTCAGCCTTGGCCGCGTGCGTCGTCGCAAGGTCGTCGTTTGCTGTCTGCAGCGCGGCGTCCGACGTCGATAGCTGCGCCGCAAGCACCTCGATCGTGGTGGTCGCAGCCGCCTTTTCAGTCGTGAGCGTCTCGACGTCGGCCTGCAGCGCCTTCTCCGAGGCCAGGAGCGCCGCGAGCTTTTCCTTGAACTTGCCAAGGAGCATCTGCAGCTTCTCAAACTCGTCGACCTTGGCTGTGAGCTCTGCTTCCTTGGCCGTGGGCTCGGTGTCCTTCTCGGCGAGCGCGCTCCGGACCGTCGCGAGGTCGCTTTCAAGCGCCGCAAGGGCGTCGGCTTTGTCGGCCAGCGCCGCCTCCAGCGTCGCGCGCTCGTCGGCCCACGTCGCTGCGGCCATTTCGTGCGCGGCCTGCGCGGTTTCTTGCTCGAGCGTCGACCGGCGGCTTGCCTCGGCCTCGGCCTCGACCATCGTATCGCGCTCGACCGTCCACGCCATCTTCTCGGCCATGAGCGCCGCAAACCGCGCCTCAAGCGCTTCGTACGCGGCGTTGACTTCGTCCAAATGGCCTTCGACGACCTCGAGCTGGTCGGCGACCTGCTGCTTCTCCTCCGAGACCATGTCGAGGTCCTGGCTCATAATGTTGATCTCACGCTTGAGTGCATGAAGCTTGGCCTGGAGCTCGTCGATCGACGTGTCGCGCTCGCCAAGACTGCGCTCGTACTCGCCCGCATTGTGCGCCAGCTTGTCTTCGAGGCGTGCGATCGCTGCCGTCAAGTCGGCAATCGTCGACTCGTGCCGCGTCACGACCGGCGCGCTGGCCTCGAGCGCGGCTTGCACATCGGCGTGGAGCACGTCGATTTGCGTGTGCATATCGCTGATCTTGGCCTCGAGCGCTGCGCACTGGTCGCAGCTGGCGGCTTCCAACTCTGCCAACTTGGCTTCCAGCGCCGCTTTTGCCGCTACGAGCTCTTCGTGGGCCGCCATGAGCGGGGTCAGCGTGCCCATGAGCGAGTTGATCTCGGTCTCTTGCAGCTGGCGCTCGGTGCGCAAGTGCGCGATCTGGTCGTCCATGCTGCCAACGTCGGCCTGGAGCGCTTCGATTTGCGCGCGGAAGCCGTGCTCTTGCTCGAGGAGCCGGATGTTGTCCTCGTGAAGATGGCGGGCAGCTGCCTCGACGTCGCCGCTCGCGCTGAGCTGCGCGTTCATGGCCTCGAGCTCATGAACATGGTCGAGGAGTGCGATCGTCTCGGTGCGGTGCTCGTCGCGCGCCGAGAGGATCTCGGCCTTGAGCGTGTTGATGAGGTCGCTGCAAAAGCCGCCGTCAAAGTTGGCGTGGCAGTCGTGCGCCACGGACGACTCGAGCTGCCGCCGGAGCGCTGCGTTTTCGCGGTCAAGCTGGGCGACGTGGTCGATGTCAGTCTCGCGCAACGCCGCTTCGAGCGTCGCAATTTGCGACTGGAGCGACGAGAGGACGCTCACAAAGCCCGACGGGTTCGGGTTATTATCGTCCAGCGCCGCGTTGAGTTCGCGGAGCTCCGAGGCTTCGCGCGTCGCCACGACGAGGCGCGCCTCCAAGGACGCAATGTGGTCTTCGAGCAAATCAATCTGCTCGCGCTGGTGCTGGTTGACGTCGGACCGCAGGTCGCGGATCGAGTCGCGGAGGGCGTCGGCGGCCGGGTCTTTGGTCCAGCTGAACGACCCGATCGAGCTCGCGGGCGACGTGCCACGGCGGAGCGCGGCGACTTCATGACGGAGCGCTTGGATCGTGCTCTCTTGGAAGCGAACCGTCTCCTTGAGCTGCAGCGTCGAGGTCGTGCTGGTCGGCGACGACGCGTCGAGCTCTTCGAGTGCCCAGGACGCGAGTAGCTTGATGTCGGTGCCCGGCGGGACTTCCTCGCGCATCTGCGTGTATCCATGACACCCAAGTCCACAAATGTAGGTGCACACTACGGTATGCAATACGTACGTGGTCGCGATCCTGCGTCATGGTCGTGAGCTGGTGCTTGAGGATCTGCGCGTCGGTCGTCGTTTGGGCGAGCGCGATGTGTGCGTTCATGAGGCGCTTCTCGACGAGGTACGTGAGCACCTCCTGGACGACTGCGTGCTCGACGAGGTCGTCCTCGACGTGGTCGTCTTGCTGCGGGTTCGTGTCGGCGTCAACGACGTGCGTCATGCGCTCGGCCACGATGCGCGCGAGCGTCGGCCGGGCGAGGTCGTGCCAGCGGTCGTCTTCGGGCGGCTTGTCTTGGGCGGGCGTGAAGAGGCTGCCTACGTCTTCGAGCATGTCCAGCATGAGGCGCTGGCCACGCAGTAGGATCGAGCTCTCGTCCATCGCGAGGGGAATATTCTGAGTGAGACCCGCTTCAAACTTGGGCGTCGGCTGTACTGTATAAGGGAATTCCCACCAACTTCGTCGAAGCAGACAGAAACGCGAGCTCGTTTTTTAACACTATACAAATATCAAGTGCATTGGATAAAAACACGCCGCGTCAAAAACGCGCTGCAATGCACACGCGAAGATCAACTTCGAGATCCCACGGGCCAATCGTAAAATAGCCGAAAAAGAAATTAAATTCCAACAAATCAAAGGCTGGCAGCGCTGGCAAATCCCCTTGCGCGTGCGATATGTCCAGCCTGGCGCCACCGACGTCCAAGGTGATCTCGTCCAGCAAGGCCACTTGGCGCCTTGTCTTCTTCTTCGTCTTGGGTGCTGGACGTTGGCCGCTCGGGTTTGGGCAAAGATCGGGCAACGGCCAATCAGACGCCAGTTCTTTGGCGCCGAGGAAGGGACAAGCGGGCGCGCTTTCTGCCCAGCGCGCGACGTCGCATCGCCCATGTCCCGAGCATAGTGTATTGAGCAACCTTAGTATGAGTGGTCGTTGGAACCCAATAGGTGGCGTTGTCCAACCTCACGCAACAGTACTTGCCGTGGGAGACATGGTCGTGTTCTCTTCTCAGGATTCCTGGTCGCGGGGACGACGACAAGCACATAGCCCAGATGCGACCAGCGGCAAACACGCGATCCTTGATGCATTATGGCCGCAAGCCCTTGCAACGCACACAACAAGCGCGTGCATGGAACACGCCTCCGTGCATCGGAGCCATGTTGTCGGCGGGTTGAAGTGCGGCTACGTCTGTTGCTTACACCACCACCCAACGTGCCGTCCATGTCTGCGGTACTACACGTAGCCAATGTGCGCGGAAGACCGAGGACACCGATGGATGTCGGCGCAAAGACACGGACGGCGTCGCTCGCGCTAGCGACAGGCGCTGCCCGAGCAGCCTCACAAGATACGTGTCATCCGAGCATTCTGCCACGACTCGGTGCAAGCAAGGCGAGGAGCCTCGCCGAGCATCGCACCAGAAGCCACGGCTACTACGTGCCGCAAACCGCGTGCATCTGCGTCGAGTCGACACGACCAGCCTCTCCGTAAACAAGCGACAAGTGCAACGATGCTACTACGGCACACCGTGCTCTTGCCAGTCGTGCAGCGGTCGCCCAATGCGAACGTGCAAGACTGCGTCCGAACCTCGACTGATTTAAGGCAATCCCAAATGTGATGGCAATCACGCTACCCTGGACGCTCGCCACGTCATCGCCTCGCTTGGCACAGAGCTCAAGGCCACGAAAGCAAAAATCGATTCTTGCAGCCAACGACACAAGCCAATGCGCCGGCTCCTCGACGCCCGTGCAAAGCAGACGCAGCAAGATGTAGTCGTGGCACCAGCGAGCATGCGAGCAGGCAGACGAGACGGAGAGCATGGAGCATGGAGTAGGTGCGCCTTTGCGTATCTGGTGAAACAGGTGCACTTTGCAGGCTGGGGTGTATCCGGATTCCGACTTTGTGTGAAGATCGAGCGATGGTGGCGACAGACGATGGCAGCCTCGAGCAGTTCACGCTCCTGGCCAAGACCGCGCGCGGCCGCGCCTGCATGGCGCTGATCCAGCAAGTCCTCTCCAACAAGAAGCTCTTCGTCTTTGGCGAGCTGCTCCACATGCCCAACGTCATGGCCCTCGCCGAGAGCGACCAGCCGGACCAGCAGAGCCACTACCGGCTCCTCTCGATCTTCGCCCATGGCCGCTTCAAGGACTACGCCCGCGAGAAAGAGGCTGGCGCTGTCCCGGCACTCACGCCGGTGCAGGAGCTCAAGCTGCGCAAGCTCACGGTCGTGAGCCTCTGCCAAGAGTACAAGCAGGTCCCGTACAAGGTCTTGATGGACGAGCTCCACATTGATGTGGTCCGGGACGTCGAAGACATCATCATTGAGACCATGTATTCGGTACGACCCGCGTCGAGAAACCACGATTCCCATGCGATGTGCCATATACATTAGGGCCTCATTGAAGGCAAACTCGACCAGAAGAACCAGCGCATCGACATCCAGTACGCGGTGGGGCGTGACGTTCAAGTCGCCGACATTGACGCGATGATCACGCGTCTCGCCGACTGGTACCCTTCTCCTGCATCGTTGCGGAATCTCATCGTCGTGCTAGGCAAACCGACGCCAAGCACGTAGTCGCAGAGATGGACACCGTCCTCGCGTACGTCATTTCATTGTGGCATCTTCCTCACCCGTTCTAGGCGCGCGACGAACCAATTCCAAGCGAATGCGGCCCTCGAGGCCAGCGTCAAGGCGGCGGTGGCCGAGGCGCGCAACAACGCGCCCCGCGACCGTGGCGACTTTGACTCGGACATGATGTTTGGCGACACCTTTGGCGGCCTTCAGCGCAGGTACATTATCTGCCGCTGCCTCGACCTCGCTTACCGTCGCGTCTCTCCATAGCGCCAGCGGCAAGCGGCGCATGGGCCCCGGCTCGTCGCGCAAGATCTCGCGCGTCTAATGTGCGATGCTGCCGCGCGACGTAACAGACAGCTTTCATACTATTCATCGTCGTCGTTCCGATACTACGACTACCGCAAGCGCGAGGAGGACGAGGCCGACAAGTGCCAACCACCAGAGCGACGGTGGTCCTCGTGCTAGGACAGTGGTCCGCTGCGGCCACGGCGCTTTAGCGAGCGCCGCCACGTCGCCTTGCAGCGTCGGGGTGTACTGGAAAGGGCTGCTGCCGCAATTGAGCGTGATCGAGTACGCAGCATCGAGTCCCACGACGGGATACAGTGGCGCATGTGGGCACCGCATGATGGACCCTACGCCACCGCTCCTTGTCAGCGCCCCAACACTAGTGTGGAACGATCTATAGATTACAATACCTATGCGCTGGCCGTTCCGAGCGAAGAAGACGGACGAGCTGTGCGCGCTGCGAAGAAGGCCGCAGCCAAGTGTGTCCCCGACATCAAAGCTCGACGCGAAGGGATGCGCCTACCCCCCACCGTGAGCCTGCTGTGTCACGAGACACGACCACTACGTACCTGGCCGTTGGTGAAGAAGCGGCCGTCGTCGCTGTGGTAGCCGACCGAATGCGCGTCCCAGCCTACTGCGTACGTGAGCCGCTGCGTACGGTGCAATCGAGGACCAGGTTGCTGCCCGATGACGCGAAAGTCTTTGGTGCCGAGTCCGATGGCAACACACATGCTGAGCGCGCTACGTGCCACCGTCAGTACAGGGTTGGATCCTCGATTTTATCACGTTGGCAGCGCAATCGGCGACGTCGTTGACGCTTGAATCGTAATCTCAAAGTACGCATCGTCCGCCACGTCGACGCGCCACGTCCGCAGCGATATCTTGGTCAATTGCACGCGTGGGCCAAGCGGAAACGGCGTGTTGGCGCGGATCGATCGGTCGCCACCGACGCTCTCGGTCCCGAGCGCCATCGCCGTCACGCGCCGGTGCGTCGCGTCGTCAAATGCGACCGGCTCGATCCTAAGACGCTTTATCGTTTGCCTTGTTAAAGAAAGCACGGGCTCGGTACCGGTGCTTGGACGAGAGGTTGGCGAGGACGTTGGTGTGTGCAATGTCAGCGCACGTCGGCACGGGTGTGACCACCTGAGTGAGCCAGCGATAGCAGTCGCGCCGCCTACAGTGCCATGAGCACCAAGCGTGGTGTTGCAAACGCACCGCGGATAGGCTGCTTCAAGTGCCGGCGAGAGCTCCAAGGTCTCGCTAGTGTCGACATGGGCATTGTGCTGGTTCCACGTCGAGCGAAAGAGAGCCTCCCAATGGCGGTCCGTGGGCACGGACGCCAGCGCCTTGGACGCGACCGAGGCTGCGCGGAGGTCCGTCGCGTCGAGGAAGCTGAGCGTATGCCCCAGTAGGTCCGTGGGGACGGTGGTGAGGCGCATTGTGCAGTGACAAATTCGGAAATGATCCATCGATTTCGATCTTTCGCATCTTCAACTTCCGCTCACAATAGCATTTCATGGGCCCGGGGGGGTAGGGGTACCCAAAAAGGTGTGATCACGTGGGCCCCAAAGATCGAGCAAACGCATCGAGCTTTTCACATGAGCGGACACTACCTGGCGGTACTAGGACTGCCACAACGACATTTGTGGTCCTGCTGTCGCCCGAGAAAGCTCGTTGGCGTCGGCGCGAGTGGGGTGTGGCAAGAACCCTCTTTATGCCGACCACTGTCTGCGTAGGACGAGAGAAGAAATGTCGTCGTCGTCGTGCAGGTGCCTCCGATTACGCAACGCCGGACAAGCACCGAACGGCGTGAACCATGTCGAATTCGATGGACTCTCTCTTTTGCTATTTGATGTCGTGATGTACGCGCTCTCAGTTTCATTGACTCGAACGTGCGACAGGAAGCCTTTGAACATGACGCCCGCGGTGCTGGGTATCGTCATCAAGACTTCTGTCCCATTCTTCAGACCCGTGGGGCTCAAAGATGCGCAACGGAAGTTAAGGCCGCGATCGCACAACACTCTTTTGTCGGTATTATTCGAGTCGAGGTGACGTTTGGACGTTGAGGTCATGTGCAAACTGCAAGGACGTAGCGGAAACCTCAGAAATGCACCACTCCGTGTCACCGATACGTGAAAACTTGGCGTGATGTCGCAATCTCGGGTGTGATTATGACTGAGTCGACATCTCGCGATGGTGGATTGCAATTATCGCCCAAACCGTCGCGGGAGGGTTAAGCTAAGCCGCTGTGGCCTTCTCGATTCTGAGCGTGTGATCAATGGAACCTACCCCTTGGTGGACCTAGTCGACGTTTCGTTTGTCGGTTTTGCGTTCCCAATGGTAGAAACGCTCGACTTGCAGATCCTGAACAACCTTCGAAAACTGTATGGTAGCCGTGGACGAGGTGCGTTGATGATCGTGTGCTTTGCACAAGAGAATAAACTTTGTCTTCTTCCCTTGGCTCTGCATTTGGTGGCCGCGAGCTGTGGTCGGTCTCGTGCCGGAGACGCGTGCTGCGAGTAGTAATTTCACGTTCAGTTTTTTTGTCTCGAGAATGAGTCCATGTTGTGCGTATACATGACTAGGAGGCTTTCACTTTGGTTCTACCCAGGTTTGCAGCCTTTGCAGCCCGAGGGTCACAGTAGGTACTAATATGCGCTGCGTGACATCCAAGCCGCGGAGTTTAAATATGGCTATAAAGTCTATATATGGCAGGTGGCATTATTAACAATTTAGTCGATTTCTCGAGGTGTACGCATCCAACAATAGAGAGATTTCGCAACTCACTCCCCGTTTCATCTGCGTTCTGTTTTATGGGGAAGCAGATGGAACGCAAAAAGTAAAAATTGTAATTTCGCACTGGACATCCCGTCTTCGTCTGCATTCGAATGCAGAGGAAGCCGGGAGCAACTTCAGCTTTTATTTCGCAAAAATTCCAGAAGGATCCCATCCTCGTTTTGTCTTGTGCTACTACTGCAGTAGCGTGAGCCTCGTCATGATCGATTTCTGCCGTGTTGTCGTCCCGCGAGCTTGTGGTGTTGCTTCGCCGCAGTCGCCGTATGTCTCGTCAGCGCCGCCGCCAGCTCCTACAGCTAACGTTACCCTCTCGGTTATCGAGCGGTCGTTGGTCCCGAAAACGTGCCTCTTTCTCGACTCGATGAACGACGCCGATGCAATGCTGCATTTCCGCTTTGAAGTGGCTTCATTAACGCGGCTCTCACGTGCTCTCCAACTCCCGGCCTTCGCTAATAACGAGGGTCGGGATCGATACCTCGCTGTCGAAGCCGTTTGCGTTACTCTCAACCGCTTGGCCTACCCTCGGCGGTACTGCGATATGATGATCGTGTTCGGTCGGTCGCGTGAGTCTCTGTGCCGCATACACGACTATGTGCTCGATGCTCTCTCTATGACAAGTTGGCCGACGTCTTCTTCGTCCAGAGTACACTCGTCGCCAAGCGCCTCCAGAAGTTCAAGGACACGATTGTCGCTAAAGGGGCGCCTCTAACGAACGTCTTCGGGTTTACCGACGGATCTAAGATCTGGGCGGTGGGAGCGGTCGTCGTCCGACGAGATTTCCCAGTTGTCAGTCGTCGCGCCAAGTTTAAAGTGACATGGGCGCGAAAGTTCGACAGGTTAAATAAGGTTAAAGCCTCCGCCACTGTTTGACGTACTTTAACCTACTGAACGAACATGGGAGCCTTCGCTCCCCGTTTTTGATTGATTTGGGTGATTTCTACGATTAGTTTTCAGAGACCTCCCATTTCTTATTATTTATGACAGGATAGAAGCGCAGATGGAAACGGGAAGTGAGTTGCGAAATCTCTCTAATGCCGCGACTTAGCATTTCTGGACCCTCAAAGTACCTTCTATCGTCAAGCAAAGCGAAGGAGAAATCATTTTTCATCGTGTTTTGGACGACCGAGCGTGACTCCGCCAGGCATCGTCAAATGTTGTTGGCATTAAATGCCAACAAGATGTCAAGAAATTTTCATGACATCTGATTGGTTAAAAATAGTGTAAAATAGGCGAATAAGCAGCAAGAATGGTATTGATACGTTGAAAGATTGCAGCACAAAGCGCCCCTTGACACGAGCGCCAGCACTTTGTCCCGCGGATCGCGCTCCTGCCTCAGCAATAGCCTGCTGTGTGTGCCTGCGACCGGTATGAGATACAGAAATGCTCGAGCCTTGAGATCTCCTCGTCACGAGGTCTCTAATAAGCAGCACAGTGTGCTGCAGCCGGAGCAAGCTGACGGTGCAAGTTTATTTGAATGTGTGATCACTGCCAGCCAGCTCATGTATTCCTCCGCAGCAGGATGATACTTAAAATAGTAGCTGCGCACATCCCAACCCAGCCTTCTCAAGGAGAATAGCGTCAAGACGGTGCAACGCGCCGCATTCAAACTCAAATAATTGTTTTTTTATTTCACTCCTATAACTATAGAGCGAGCAGTGGGACAGTCGTTCGTCAATTCTTTCCAATGCTGCATCCTGCGTGTATCTGTCCCATGATATCAGATTATGCAATTGGGGGCCGGAGCGAAAGCAAAGGTTGTTTAACCGCATAAAACCTAAGATTTGCCTGTGCTTTTTCCACCTTATGGCCCAGTTTCGGCTGCTTTAATTAGGCTTAACCCACGCCATCATGGCACTATCGACGTGATCACGGCCGCTTTAACCTGGCCAAGAGCCAGCGTCTTTGCTCTTGCGTTATGTGAAATGCACCACGCCAGAGACTAGGTCCACGCAACCCGCACCTCTTGCCTTGAAACCGGTACGCTTTCCGGCATAAAACCCGATTTAACGCACCTGGACTTGAAATTTTACGCATGTGTCACGAGGCCGGCAGGCCTCTGCAACCAGCTGGGCCGCGTGTTGTTACGGCGCCGCGTTCTATCGTCAGAACTCAAAATGCCCCGCGCCCTCTCACTACCTCCTAGCCACGCCGTCCTGGGCAACCCGGCACTGGTCCGAGAAGTCGTGGCCTATCAAGGCGGTGTGACGCACGCCGTTCGAGTCGAATACCAAGCGTGGCGCGCTTTTGTGACCGAGATGCAGGAAGATGGCATGTACAGCGTCTTTGGCCTCCTCCGCTCGATGCTGCTCTCGTCGTTGACCGACACGCGCTTCATGCTACACCAGGCTATCATTGAGAACCGGCCCGAGAGCGTGCTCTGTCTTGTCGAGCACGAGCCCAAGTGGATTACGCCTAGCGCGTTTACATTGGCCCGACAGCGCGGCTTGAAGCCAATTTTGCACATTTTGCACGAGCATACGAGTGACGTGCGGCAGCGCCAAGCGGCGCGTGCCAAGCTCCTGCACATAAAGGCCGAGACGATGCAAAGTAAATTGAAGATCTAATCTAATTATATAACCTACTAGTAGTATTAAGTGTGTGCTACCATGTCCTTTCGTCGCCCGAGTCGCTCGAATCGCTCACGTCCGACCGCAGCTCGTACTCGTCGCTCTCTTCGTCTTCACTCGACGCCTCGGCCATCCCGTTCGGGTTGCCTTCCAATATGGCAGCCGTCGTCTTGCGCTGTCGAAGCCGCGCCTCGTGGAGCGGCGAATCGCCAAACTAGGCCATCATATACGAGTCCCAACGGCCGCGTCCAGTTTCAGTCCGACCTTGTTGAGCTGCCCGAGCTCGGCTGGCGTGCAGCACTCGAGAAGTGTGGCAGCAATGTTCTTGAGGCCCGCGCCGGCTGCGTAATGCAACACATTCATACCTTGGCTCTACGACCGCATCAGTAAATATATCTATCGTCCAATGAACGTGGTGGTACGTCGCGTAGCCTCAAGGTTGCGTTGGCGTTGACGAGCAAGACCACAAAGGCGTGCATCTCGGCGTCTTCTTGCGCACACATCATGAGCACGGTTTGTCCAAAGACCTACATCACGAAAATGTATCAACTTGATACAAAACGGCAATGTACGTTGCGGGCATTGATGTGCGCACCGAGCTCGAGAAGGCACATGGTGCTCGTCTTGCTTTTGCCGAGCACACTGAGCATGAGCGGCGTCGTGCCCCATGGGTCTTTGGCGTTGACATCAGCGCCGTGTTTCACAAGCAATCGCACCACATCCGGGTTGCCCATACGACTGGCATCGATGGGTAACAGCGACAATGTATCGGGAGTTACCTCGCCCAATGCAGTGGCGTCCACCCGTCCTTCTACGCTCCATAAACGATATTGCCGACCCTCGCAACGACACGGCGTACGTCGCTGCGGCTGATGTGCGCGCCTTTCTTGAGCAAGACGTGCACGACGGCACTGCGGTTGAGGGCCGCGGCCCAGTGCAGCGCATTGCGCCCGTCAGTCCCGAGGGCATCTAGGTCGGCGCGACCTGCGATGATTGCCAACGCCTCGTCCAAGTCGTCTAGGCATCACGGAGGCTTTGTTGCCGTCGACAAGTATGTGTCAAACCTGTTTTCGCGGCCAAAATGAAGCTGTCCATGAGGGCCCCGGACGCCTTGGCTTCCTACACCTGAATGTCAAACTCGTCCATCGACTTGGGTAACTCCGACGTACGAGCCATTTGTGACTGACGCGCCAGAGACCAAACACAAACAGTGAGAGAAAGACGTTGACGAGCGCGATCGTGAACGCTGTCGAGAGCGTTACGCACTCGGACTTGGCCCGTTTGTCGGCAATGCACACCTTGTCCATGGCACCTAACATCGACTGCATACAACTGAACTTTTGGCGTCGACTTACTTTGCGCGACGGCCCACGCGATCACTACGAGAAGCAGCGACACGCTTTGGACAAAGCTAAGGAACGTGGCCCACGGCAAGGTCGCGGCGCGGCCCGCACCGTCCCACGACGGGTACCGGCGGTTGAGCACGACGTGGGTGCTCACGTAGAGCCCACCCATGGCAGCGAGCAAGGCAAATGCATGAAAGGCGCGCGCACACTCCGCCGCCGAGTGACACCATGGATCGTGCGCTGCGACCGATGCGATGGCACTAGGCGATGGAGGTCTGTGAGCGGAGGATTTGTATTCTGGGACCGACCAGAAAGCAGACGACGAGGCAGGCCACTTGTTGGGGTCCACAACGTCGTAGCCGAGCTTGCTGACCCCTGCATCGACGAGTTTGATCGAGACTCCAACGCCCTAAGAGCATCTTGCAGCATCCAGGAGCGGCGCTCGTCGCACCCCGAGGTCGTAGAGCCCGATGCCCGTGAGGCTGGCCGCATCGTAGGCCCAGTTGGTGTTCTTGAGCGTGTAGCACACGAGCACGAACGACGTTAAGTGACAGAAAATGCCTACACCCGAGGTCAGCGATCGTAGCGCGTGGGCGGGTACCAATGCGCTGGTGGGCATACATACTGCTGGGGGTTTCGTATTCTCGCGCGTGGATTGGCTCCATCCAGCCAATCCGCGCACCGACACGTGGCATCGTCTGGAGCGTTGACTTGACTACGAAGTCGCCATGCCCATTATTGTCGTGGTGGACATAACCTCGAGCGTCGACCAATGGTGTACAATGTCAGGATAGTGTAGAACCGATCATCAATACCAGTAAGAAGGGACTAAATAGCAATACGGCCATCCATCAACACAATACTCATGCAGGTAACGTGAAAGAACACCAGAAAAATCGTCACAGCCCGGTCCATTCGAATCATGAGCTGCCCAGCATCGCCACAATGTGTCGTGACTGCTCGTCAAAGGTCCGCAACCCCACGCGACCGACCAAAAAAGTTACGTCATGCACCTTGATTAGGGTCAGCGGTGTCACCAATCGAGCTTTTGGTCCTGTTCGCTGAGACCGATTGTGCGGCCAGCACCGCCTCTCGTCGTCTGCGTCTGCCACGTCATAGCCTTCATCTTTCTACATTCGACGAAGCAGATGGTTGCACTTCTTCCAGCCGATTGTGGGTGATATGTGGTGGGCGTAGGTATTTTAATTGGAATTACGCATCTTTCTTACAATAGGCAAGTGCTATTTAAATTTCTGCATTAAAATCCTTGCGCTGGCCACCCCAGGCTCACTTTCTGGCTTGGATCGATGGCCGACGTTCACGAGCTGGCGGAGACGACGACGTACGGCAGCGCGCTCAAGACCGCGTCGCCGTCGCACCTCCTCGACGCCCGCGTCAAGCTGCTTCGGCTGCTCGACATGCGCAAGTGCCACTACACGTACATGCTCATTGCGTTCACGGACTTTCTCGGGCAAATGGTGTTCCTCGCGTTCACGTCGCCGAGCCTCGACCGCTTTGAGTGGTACGTGGTCCTCTCAGTGACGCTCTCGTGCGGCTGCATGGCCATCTACCTCGCCGACACGATCGTGCGCCTCTTGACGCTGCGCACCTTGCTCTGCACGTCGGTGGCGTCGGTGCTCGACTTGGTCGTGCTTCTCGCGATGGCGAGCTTCCTGTACCTTCGCGTGTACTTGGCCGCGCACGTCTACAACTGCGTGCTCGCGTACTTTCTCTTGGCCGCGATTCACATTGTGCTCAAGCCGCGTGCGCGCACGTTCTCGAAAAAGTTTCACAAGTTCCGCGCCGACTTTGAGCGCATTCACATTTCGGTCGCGAGCGTGCGCCTCAGCCTGCGCCGCATCCCGGGCATGGCGCCGTCGGCCATCGACGCGCTCGACCGCGATCTCTCGATGCTCGCTGTCGGCAACGACGCGGGCGACATGACGCATGACAAGTTGCTCGTGTTTCTTGAGAAAGCGCTCTTGTACAAGCCCAAGGACGTGCCAACATCCGACTTTCTCTCGTACTTGCGCAACATTGACGCGTCGACGCACGCGTACGGGACGCTCGACGTGGTCCGGAGCACGCTCACGCACTGGTCCACGCAGCGCTGCGACCTCTTCATGGTGTGTCTCGTGGTCTGCATCAACGCGAGCATCAACCCGATCCAAGCCTATGTCCTCAACCACCTCGCCGACCACGCGTTCCCTGCGTACGGTGCCTCGGCCAATGCGTCAATCTCGGACGCCGACTTGGACGCGGCCTTGGCGACCGGCGTGACCGGGCTCCTCTGCCTCTGCATCCCGTTTGCCTTTGGCGATGCGCTCATGGGCTACTTCCAGTCCAAGATGATCTCGAAAGCGACTTCTCAAGTGCAGACGTCGCTCCTCGACACGGTGCTGCGCCAGAGCGCAGCGTTCTTCCTCACGCGCTCGGACGGCGACCTCAACAACGTCTTCCAGAGCGACCTCGCGCGCGTCAACGGGCTCTGGCAAGCCGTGTTTTGGAACCTCATCAATCCGTGCGTCTCGATTGCCTTTGGCTTTGGGTACCTTCTCTACTACAAGCCGTGGCTCGGGCTCCTCTCGTTCGCCTTCGCGCTCGTGCTCGTCACGTCCGGTCCGCAGGGCTTTGCGGCCAAGCAGAGCAAGCTCTTTGGCTCGAAAAATGCCTACGTCGCGTCGGACTTTGCCAACGCGGTCGCGTGTCAAAAGGTATATTTTCATTTTTCGTGTTTTTCTAGACCAAACCTCATTTTTTGATCTCGCTAGGTCGTGCGTGCGTACGCGCTCGAGACCACGCTCGTCGGCAAGTTCAAGGCCGTCGTTGCGACGCTTCAAATCGCGCAGTTTGCCAAGGACTTTTGGAGCGGCATTGTGCAGATCTACGTCGAGTCGGCCATGTACATCTTTGTCGCGACGATGACCGCGGGGCTTGCCATCCAAGTCCGCCACGGCAGTCTCTCGGCCGGTGAGTTCTTTTCGTTTGTGACGATGCTCGCGCGCATCTCGACGCCGGTCACCATTCTCGGTGGTTTTATGCGCGTTGCGATCGGGAATGCATCGAGCCTCCAGCGCATCGACCAGCTCTTGGCGCTGTCACCGGCATCGTCGTCGTCCTCGTCGTCGCTGGGCACGGACGTCATGCCGCCGCTCGCATCCGAACTGCGTTTCCACGACGTTGTCTTTCAGTACACGCCGACGGGCCCGCTAGTGCTCAACGGTCTCACGGCGAGTGTGCCCAAGGGTGCGTACACGTGCATCGTGGGGCCAAGCGGGTGCGGGAAGAGCTCTCTCCTCAACTGCCTCATGCAGTCGGTCGACTTGAAGGCCGGTGCGATATCGGTCGATGGCACGGACCTTCGCCGCTTCACGAAACCCAGCGTCATGGCCGAGACCGCGGTTGTTTTCCAAGATGGTGGCATTCTCAACGGCACGATCCTGGACAACATTCGGTATGGCAAGCTCGATGCGACCGACGCCGAGTGCATGGAAGCTGCCAAGCTCGCCGAAGCCGACAAGTTTATCGTGACGCTCCAGGACGGGTATCACACGGTCATGGGGCAGCACGCGACGTGCAACATGAGCGGCGGGCAGGTCCAGCGCGTGTGCTTGGCGCGGGCGCTCGTGCGGCAGCCGAGTCTCCTTTTGCTGGACGAGGCGACGAGTGCGCTGGACCCGGAGACTGAAGCGTCGATCGTCCGCACGCTCGAGCGTTTGTCCAAGACCATGCGCATGACGATTCTCTCGGTAGGATTCTATCAAGGTATCGAGTGGAGAGGTACTTGACTGGTTGGATTAGGTGACGCACCGCTTGTCGACGGCGCGCCACGCCGACTTAATTCTCGTGCTCAACCGCGGCATCGTGGCCGAGCAAGGCAGCTACGACGACCTAGTTGAAGTGCCAAACGGGCTGTTCGCCGACATGGTCGCCCAAGCCACGTCCAATGAAGCCGACGAAGAACCCAAGAAGACCAAGAAGAAGGAAGACTCGAGCCATGCGCTGCGTGCATTTGTCGACGCGCTCGCAACGCGCGCCAAGTGGAACGCGTCGATGCTCCACGCACCTTCGCTCCGCCGCATGAATACGTCCGGGTTGGAAAGTGAGGACGGCGGGAAGGGCCCGGCTACCTACGTCGTCTTGTGAGCTTCTGCATAACGTTTTTGCACTTGGATTTTGTTGGCTCTAAGACGAAGGCAATGCAAATGCTCGGCTATAATCATTTCTTGTCGATTCCTCAGGTCACTCGAGTTGTGTATCACTTGACGTCACTGGTCATATGACGAGGTTCTTAGTTGCTTGACAGGTCCGTTGCGGACGCTATTTTAAGTCTATTTGATAGAGAAGCCACTTCGTTGTCGATCAGGCATGCAGCGTGTGACGCCGTCGATGTCGCCGCAGCCTTCCGGCGGCACGCCCGTGCAGCTCAATCTCGTATCGCTTCTTCTCGCGAGTCTTGTTGGCGCCTACGTGGCAAGTGCGGTACGGTCTCAACGCAATTTCAAACGACATGGTGTCTTGGTAGCCGCTGCATGCATATGTGTACGAGGATCTACCGTGGGCGCTGGACCCGCCGCCAGTGCTCATGCCCAACGCCACGTGGGCTCAAACCGAGGCGTTCTGGCTCCTCTTTGCCAAAGACCGGTACCTTTGTCTTGCATGGAGTTTGCGTCATCAGCCATTTCCTCTAGGTTTACGTCCGAGACGTTTCTCGATGGTACGTCCTACAGCCACGACCCGACGACCAACACGGACATTTACCGCATGGTGCTCAACCTCTTGGAGCCAATTCCGCTTGAGAAATGTCACTCCAACTTTTTGACCAAGCTCAACAACGGCGCGATTTTGAGCAATGGGCTCCAAGAGACACTTTGCAACTTTGCTGCGAGCCCGAACGCGTCGTTGGCAGCGTCGGTCGGGGCGTGCCAGGACAACAAACTCGGTGGGATCCAGCAAAGCGTCGTCTGTGTGTGGCTCGCACCCGGCGACGACCTCACACTGCACGCCAACAGCAGCAGCACCAGCGGGCTCTATACGTACTACAACATCTTCCTCATGCGGCCATCGATCCCGTTTCTGTACGCCAAGCTTACGTGGCGTGTTGCGCTCGTCATGCAAATTGGGTACCGTCTCTACTTCGATTATTTTCGGCACTGCCGCGAGCTGCTGCGCGACTGCGCACTCGTCGAGGGCCCTCGGTGCGAAGTATTTTTTGGGGACCCCACCAGTCTCATTCTGCTCGACCCATGGATCACACTTGTGATGAGTCTCGACGTATGGCTCAGCGCCGCGGTCATTGGATCGTCGACGCTCGCAGCCGCCCAAATGGACGACACGTGGCAGTTTCTGCTTGGCTGTCTCTACCTCGCGCGCATGGTATGATTTGTATCAACTTGATACTGTTGGAACTATGCGTTCGATAGGAATGGATCGCTTATTTTTCTCTCGCTATCGCGTCACGGATCCTGAAGCGACTGCACCTGGAGGGCCGCTTCACGCCCGTGGACCCGACCCTCGTGTCGATCACAGCGACGCTCATTGCCGGTCCGTTGACGTACCAGCAAGGTCAAAGTGTCTTCTTTACGCGCCTGTACCTCTGGCTTTTCAACACCAAGGCGCCGGACCCGCACACGATCGAGATTGGCTACGGTATCTTCTTCTTCCTCTGCTCGGTCGCCTTGACGCCCATTGTCTTGGGCTTGGCCTCATGTCCCTCCATGCAGTCGACCGTTGTCCCCACCGGTATGTAATCTGAGCGCTTAGCCGCGTCATCTTATTGGTTCTTATTGGAGTAGAGACGTATATGGTGCTGCGCTATGCCCTTCCATCGTTTAATGATGTCAAGCACCGGTTTCTCTGGGCGCTGCAGCTGCGGTGTCGTGCCAAGTACCGCCGACTACACCATTTCGGGGGTACCATCTACAGCTTTTACGACGCGTACCCCAACTTTCGCAAGTTCCCGAGCTTGAGCCAGCGCGGTCTCGACTGCTATATCGTGGTGTACGCAGCCCACGACGATCTGCCGTGCGACTGCATTCGCGTGAGCTTGTATAGCTGCGTCGACAAGACGCAAACGAGCCTCGTCATTGCCAAGGCCGACGAAGAAGCACCCTTTGGGCACCTGACGATTGAAGCCAACACGACGACCCGCGCGATTTCGTTTGTGGTCATCGAGCCGCCCCACGGCCAGTGCCACTGGATAGAGTAAACCGGCTTGTGTTTTCATATCATTATGCGTTTATCGAGTATGTCGGGGTTTGCGCGCCGCTGCACCTGAGCCACGGTCCAACTCGAGCCTTGAGACTTCAAAACGGGCGACACCATTAGCTATTAAAGGTGTCCAAACAGCAGCGGGGAAGGGCATAATTCTATTTTAATGGTTGTGGCAATGACGTCGTCGCTCTTGTCCGTGTCGTCGAGAGGCGAGAACCAGCATAAAAGAGTAGCATATGAGTCATCGGGTTGCTCCAGGCAGTGTGCTGTTAGTCGAAAGTTAGTTGCTACAGACGTCAGCAATTCTTTGGGCGAATGCACCATACGTGAGGCATTCTCCAATTGTTTGGACACGGCACGAAAGAAAAGAGAAGAAAGGAAGCAGGGGCAGCCACTGGAAGAGAAGGCATTCGTCGGACGTTGGGAGTGGTACCCATCAGCACTCCGCTTGCGTGGTGGCCCATACCGGTACGACAAAGGTGGTGTCCAAACAATATACTTGGAATTTGTATGTCCCAAACAATTTCAACCCGGCCAACTCCAAATCCCTTCCAAACCTACCCCTCCGGACCCATTTTGGCTTATCCAGGTTGCGATAAGTGATATATATTTGATATGTTCGGATATGACTGGTCGCAATTTACTCTGTACTGCGTATTCATTGGACGCGATTTGTAATTTTGTGGAGACCGTCGGAGCCACAAGCAAGAACATGGAGGCGCCGCAGGACGCGCCGACGCGCAAGGCTCCAACCTGAGCGAATCGGTCGGATCAGAAGACTTGGCTTATGTCGCCAAATGCAGCCCCGGCCTACCTCGACTGCGCCTTTAGTCGGAGACACGAAATGCACTGCGAGTACGTGCCGCGCTATCGCCGTCGCCTCGATCGCCCAGTGCGAAAGCTCCACGTGGCGAGGCCAGCCACCGAGGCCACCCGCGATGCGAACGACGATGCTGGAGGCGGAGACGCCGAGGCGGACCTCGAAGATGCCACCAGCTTCACGCCGCCGCCGCTGAGAAAGTCTCTCGACAACGTGTGCCCGGCGGTGATGAGCACACCCTGGAATAAGATCAAACTTCAGCTGCGGCTACGATCTAGTAAACCCGACCGCGTAATGCATTTCCTTTCCCATCGATGCCCACGGGTGCTGTGGCACCCATCGACTTTCTGCTTGCCGGTAGGTAGATCGACGTCACTTTGGCTGTCGTTTGTCTGATGTCATTTTGCTCAGCGTGCTCTAAACACCAACATGATCATGCGTCTGTCGTGCGTACTCGTATGTTGGACACCAACACGATCAAGTGTCCGTGATGCTACAAGGCGCTTACCACAAGATCTCATGCCTATATGTCTAATGCAGCAGTAAACATGCTATGCTCCCATCGTTATACGGGGCGGGCAGGAGTTGCATCACACACGCGAGGTCGAGCTCATCGCGCCGCAGCACGAAGAGCCGCAATCCGCGCCAAAGATCCGGAGCGTCTTACACTATTTTCGTTCCACCAATGGGAAGCGTGGATTGTTTGGCCACATTTGTCCCCTCGGCCAATCAGATCGCGCGGTTTCAACGAGAGTTCAACGGCTGTGCAAGGATCGCTTATTGAAACGGAGCAAGCTGCGATACACACTGCAGTACATGTATTTACATTAGTTTGAAAAAGGTTCGAGCGTCCTTGAGCGCTTGCACCCGCAGCGCCGCACAGGTGTGTTGCCGTCGTCGCTGCCATGGCCGCTTGCAGCAGCGCCTCCAAGCGGCGCATTTCGCCGCAGTTGATGTCGCGCACAAGTCCTGGACCAATGAGCGGGAAGCGCGAGCAGTGGCCAAACGAAGGAAAGGCGACGATCGGGTTGGAGTTGGGGAAAAGTCCCGGAGACTTGAGCCACTGGTGGTGCAGTAGGTAGCAGAGCTGCGCGTGTGAATAATGCTCGACCAACGTAGCCTTCTGCAGCGACGCGATTTGGGCGAAGCTTGCGCCGCCCACTTTCGATTCATGCACTTGGCGCGCAAACGCCGTCGAGATGACCGTCGAGATGACCGTCTTCTTGGTCGTACATGTCGTACTAGTGTTCATGTGCCTCGTGCACGCTATTTTATCCGCAACGGCCGTCGTTTGCCTTCAACTCAACCGCCGACACCCCAGAATAGACAGACAGTTGTCATTTTACAACACTGCGATGCAGCAAGTGAGCCCCGCGGCCGCGCCACGACGCTTGACTGGCACTCCGGCGCGTCAGCACTTGCGTTCCAAGGTCGCAACCGCCTGTATTGCCATCTACCTCCTGTTGACGGTAGCCAGCGCTGCACACTATCGTCGTCTCATGCACTGTATTAGCCACTGCAAGCCTACTTGTACGAGAACTTTCCGTGGCAGCTCGAGACTCCGCCGTCGCTCGAGACCGTCGCGACGTGGCAGCAGGCCGAAGCGTTCTGGCTCCGTTTTGCCCACAACCGGTACGCACCGATGAACTTTGTCGCGATGCCGAATGCCACGAAATGGTGGAGGTATACGCCCGAGACATTCTTCGATGGCGCGTCCTACTGCCATGACGCAAAAACCAACACGGACATTTACCGCATGGTGCTCAACCTCTCGGAGCCAATTCCGCAGGAGAAATGCCGCTCGAATCTTCTGACCAAGCTCAATAATGGCGCGATTTTGAGCGTGAACCTCGAAGACCGACTCTGTGCGTTCGCTGCGAGCCCCAACGCGACGCGTGTGGACGCGTTTAGCGCGTGCCAAAAAAATGTCGTCGCCGGGATCGAACAGAGTATCATTTGCGCGTGGCTTACGCCCGGCAACGACCTCGATAAGACGCTGACGGCGTCGGGTCTCTACACGTACTACAACATCTTTTTCATGCGGCCGTCGATCCCGTTTCTGTATACCAAGCTCGCGTGGCGCTTCCTCCTCGTTATCTACTTGGGCTACCGTCTCTATTTCGATTATTTTCGGCACTGTCGCGATCTGTTGCGCGATTGCGCGCTCGTCGAGGGCCACCGGTGCGAAGTGTTTTTTGGGGACCCCACCAGTCTCGTTCTGCTCGACCCTTGGATCACGCTTGTGATGAGTCTCGACGTGTGGCTCAGCGCCGCAGTCATTGGCTCGTCGACGCTCGCAGCCGTCCAAATGGACGATACGTGGCAGTTTATGCTCGGGTGCATTTACCTCTCCCGCCTGGTTCGAGTCGAATGGGAATGTGAATCCGAACCTGAACCTGAAGCTAGGTGTGGATCGCCTATTTTGCCGTCGCCATTGCGTCGCCGATCCTGAAGCGACTGCACATGGAGCGGCGCGTATCGCCTGTCGACCCGACGTTCGTCTCGCTTGCGACGATGCTCGTCTCGGGCCCGATGACGTACCAGCAAGGCCAAAGTGCATTCTTCACGCGCGTGTACCTCTGGTTATTCAACGCCAAGGCGCCGGACCCGCACACGATCGAAGTCGGGTACGCGACCACGTTCTTTCTCAGTACGATCGCAACGCTGCCCTTCATTTTGGGCCTCGCAAGCTGCCCCCGCGTTCGGTCGACCGTGATGCCGTCCGGTGCTAACGTGGATATCTTGATATTTGTATCGTGACGTGGCACGCGATAGGGCTCGATCTCGTTTCGATCTTTGCGTCGCTCGACTTTAACGACTGGAAGCACCGGATGCTCTTTCGATATCAAATCATGCCCGCGGCTCAGACGCGCGATGTCCTCTTCTATGGCGGGAACCTGCACGCGTGGTTCCACGCCAACCCGAGTTTTCGGCGTGCGCTGGGGCTCAGTCAACGGGGCCTCGACTGCTACGTGCTCGTCTTCAACGTGCAAGGCCGCGCGACAGAATGCATTCGCGTGAGCCTCCTGCGGCTCTTGGATACGAACCAGCCAAATGTTATTATGGCCAAAACCGAGGGCGACGCACCATTTTGCAAAGTGACGATTGAGGTCGACAATGCGACCAGCGCCTTATCCTACGTCGTCGTCGAGCCCCACCACGGCCAATGTCGCTGGCTCGAGTGATCTCTAGTCATCGATATAAGCGAAAATTGGTGTCCTTGACAGCAACGAGTTTGCAGTGCCTTTGACGCCATGGATTGCCGCTTTGGCTCAATAATGCTTCTAAGAGCTCTTTCAATTACGATTGTTGATGCTGCTCTCCACCTTGTTCGGGGGAAAGAACGGGCCTCAGGACAGAGCCAAGTGGGGCCGTGAGTGGCGAACCTAAAACCAGCTGAATGGTTATCCAATCGGATGCCACTTGAAGCCAGTGGTCGCGCTCCGATTGGCCATGACCTATCGAAATATCTTTGCCCTTTGAAGTGGCATGTCGGCCGTCCTGCCTGCCGCGCCGAGTCCGCCCGCGGCCGTCGTGGCCGTGAGCCGCCGGTCGCTCTACGTCAGCCTCGCTTGGGCCCTCTACGTCGTTCTGAGTGTACGCGCTTTGTACGCTCCTTGATCGATCATGGTTCATTGCATAGCCGATGCAAGCGTATCTGTACGAGAGCTACCCGTGGCAGATCGAGACGCCGGTGGACCGCCCGAGCGTGGACGGCAACTGGCGCGACGCGTCAGTCTATTGGCTCAACTACAGCCAGCACCGGTAGAACGCCATGGCAGTGCTACCGCATCGATGCAAGCTACCATAGGGCGGCCTTTCTGCCTGGCGCACCGTACAAGCACGACGTCGCAGGCAGCATGGACATGCACCGCATGACCGTCAACCTCAGCGCGCCCATTCCCTCGAACGCTTGCCACAAAAGCTTTGTGTACACGCTCAACAACGGCGCGCTTCTCAGCACGAGCCTCCAAGATACGCTCTGCGCCTTCGCCGCCGAGCCATCCCGTCGCGGCGTCGGCGGCTGCCAGCAAAACCACGCGCTGCACCTCGAAGCGTCCATCATCTGCATGTGGATCGTACCAGGGAACGACTTGGAAGAGTCGGCAGAAGCTGGCATCTACACGTACTACAGTTCGTTCCGCATGTCGCCGTCGGTCGGCTTCTTGAAAGCAAAGCTGATGCTTCGCATGGCGCTGGTCCTGTACATGGTGTTTCTCGTCTGGCGCCTCTACTACCGCGTCGTCATCCAAGCGATTGCGTCCTGCCAACGCTACCCCGCGTCGCGCGTCACGTTGTTTGTGGGCGACCCCACGAGCCTCGTGCTCGGCGACTTGGTCTCGACGCTAGGTATGTGTGTGGACCTTTGGCTCAGTGCGCCCGTGATTGGCTCGGCCATGCTCGCAGTCGTCCAGGTTGATGCTCTTTGGTTTCACTTTACGGCTTACGTCTACCTCTCGCGGACGGTATCCAGCTGGGGCTTTGCGACACCTAACCCTCCACTAGGCGTGGCTTGCCTATGCGTTTATGTCGGGACTGACCCAAGTCCTGAAAAAGCGCGGCGCCGAAGACCATTTTACGCCGCTCGACCCCACAGTTCTCTGGCTCACAGCCTCGCTTGTTGCGGGGCCGCTCACGTATGCGCAAGGCCAGTCGAGTGTATTTGTGCAACTCTACCTCTGGTTCTTCAACGCGCCGGCCGTCCACCCGAGCACGATTCAAGTGTTGTATGCACTCGTCGTCTTCTTCCTCACCATTAGCCTCTTGCCGATGCTATTGGGGTGGGGCCGCGTCCCGCTTCTACCAGTGCTAATCGCGCCCTCTGGTACATGTTGGATCAATGTGCGAAGGGACACTAATGTCTTGTCCTTAGCGGGCGCGACGCTCTCCAAGTTTGCGTCACCAGCCTTCAACGACTACAAACACCAACTGCTATGGCGCTTGATCATGGGCCGCAACCTGCTGCAGACGCCGGGCCTCCACTTTAAAGGCGGTGGCATCTATGCGTTTTGCCAGACGTTGCCGGCGATGCGGCAGTCGCCGTGCTTGAGCCAGCGCGGCACCGACTGCTTCGCTGTGCTCTACGACGACAAGGGCGATGCCACAGCGTGCATCCGCTTGAGCCTGATGACCACGCTCGATGTGCATCAGCGCGGCTTGGAGGTCGCTACGGGCGTCGACGACCAAGTCTTTGGTCACGTCGCGATCGAAGTCGACAAGACGACGAACGCAGCCATTTACCGCTTGACCAAACCGCTGGGCGCGTGCCAATGGCTGGAGTAGTTCATGCATCGAGGCGGTGCTAAGTAGCTAACTACATACTGCTTTGTCATGTTGCCAGCGCTGTACGCTCCCGTCGTGGCGTTGGCACAACTGGGTCATTCGCGCACCGAGGGCACGGTCGACGGCGTTGGCTCACGCTGGTCCATGCCACGTTGCTGCTTCATTCGAATGCCATGCATTTGACGCTCGTGTCGCACGGTTCTGCGCCCCTGCTCGCGATGGCAAGGCGGAGCTAGATCTTTTGGCGAATCGCGGCGCGTGATTGGTGCAGGGTGCTCCAATCCACAGGTTCCTCGCCTTCGATTGGTGCGTTTCGGTTTATCCGGATAGCGCACCAATAAGAATTTGACTGGTGCTCGTTAAAAAGTTCAAATTCACTGCTTGCGTCAAACTCAAAACGATGGCTCCGACGAACGCAGGGACGAAGCGGCCGAGTGGCGGCGCCAGCGACAAGGCGGCCAAGAAGCCCAAGTTCGACAAGAAGGATGGCAAGTCGACCGAGAAGAAGCCGTTTGTGAAGAAGCCCTTCAACAAGGACGGCAAGAGCAGCAAGGAGCCGATCGACTACAAGCTCCAGCGCAAGATGAACCGCCCGCACTACGAGGTCGTCAAGCGCGCCAAGGAGATCTGGAACATCATCCGCGAGCGCAACGTCGAGAAGCCCAAGCGCACGGCGCTCTGCGACGAGCTCTACGGCCTCGTCCAGGGCAAGATCTACGACGTGGCCGCCAAGCACGACGCCTCGCGCGTGATCCAGTCGCTTCTCAAGTTTGGCTCGCCGGCGCAGCGCTCGGGCGCGGTCAAGGAGCTCCAGCCGTACATTCTCGAGCTCAGCAAGATGCAGTACGGGTACTTCCTCGTGCAGAAAATGCTCAAGTACGGCGGCAAGGACGACCGTGCGCTCATTGTGAAGGAGATGACGGGCCATGTCGTCAAGCTCGGGACGCACAACGTCGCCGCCAACATCCTCGAGGCCGCGCACGAGTACCTCCAGCCGCGCCAGCTCTCGGGCCTCAAGCTTGAGTTTTACGGCAAGGAGTTCGCGCTCTTCAAGGGCGAGTACGAAGCGAAGGGCGCCAAGAAGACGCTCGCCGACATCGTTGCGCAGTCGCCCTCCAAGAAGGAAGAGATCCTCTTGCACGTGGCCGACATCCTCAACAAGATGATCGACAAGCAGCTCCTCGGCATGTCGTACGTGCAGTCGCTCCTCCTCGAGTACATGACGGTCGCGTCCGCCGACCAGGTCAACGCGATGGTCCCGAACGTCCGTGACGCGGCCGTCGCGCTGCTTGCGACGCGCAACGGCGCCAAGGTCGTCACGATGACGCTCGCACTCGGGAACCCGAAGGACCGCAAGCGCGTCATCAAGACGCTCAAGGACAAGGTGCTCGAAGCGACCAACCACATCTCGGGCTACCTCGTCATCATGCGCGTCATGGACGTCGTCGATGATACCGTGCTTGTTCAAAAGTCGGTCCTCTCGGAGCTCCACGGCCATTGGCACGAAGTCGCGTTGCACCCGAACGGCGCCAAGCTCCTCCTTCAACTGCTCTCGCCGCTCAACTCCAAGTACCTTGGCCCGGATGAGATTGCGCTCCTCCAGCCGCCCATGATTCCCGGCAGCGACGGCGAGATGGTTGTCAACTACAAGAAGGACCCGGCGGTCCGCCGCAAGGAGCTCTGGAAGGGTCTGCAGCCGACGATCGAAGCCATGTGCACGGAGCACGCGGCCGAGCTCCTCCGCTCCAAGATGGGTGGCCACGTGCTCTACGAGGTGCTCAAGGCGACAGAAAACGCTGGGCTTTTGACCGCGGTCGCGGCGGCGATTGTCGCTGACGAGCCGGAAGAAGGTGCGGAGCCGCTCTACAGCGACGTGCTCGCCCACAAGCACTTGCAGCGCATGCTCAAGGACACCAAGTTGTCGGCGGCGTTGCTCTCGGCGCTCTCGCCGGCCACGATTGGCGACTGGGCGGCGTCGAACCGCGGTGCGTTCGTGCTTGTTGCGTTCTTGGAACACGAAGCGTCCAAGAAGACGCTGTTGAGCGCAGTCAAGGCCAAGAAGCTCTCGAAGGAGGCCAAGGCCCAAGCTGGCACGAAGCTCCTCTTGGAGAAGCTCGACCTGTAAATTTGGTCTTTCTTATTTAGACACTCAACTCGCTAGACATTCCGTCAATCTCAAAACTCTTCATTCGTATGGTTATATTTGAGCCTCATAACATCAAAGTGAACTGGAAACGCGCGCACCGTCGCGATGCAGCCCAAGCCGCGACTGGATGTCGTCGCGATCAAGAGCGTGGACCGAGATTGAGAGTCTGCTAAGAAATGACTATTGCCAGATCTCTGATTTCTTAGATCTGGTCCTGGGACTGGACTTGGCGCTGGCGTGGCTTGATTTTCAAAGATCGCCGCTCCCCGCGCGTCCCACGTTCGCGCACTTGGTAGCGGATCCGGATACGCACGCTTGGTTTTGCCACTTGCCGACGATGGACGTTGCTCGCTTCGAGACGCTGCCCCACGACCTCGTGGAGCGGATCGTCGGCTGCTTGGACTCGCATGGCCTGCGCGCGCTCTCGCTAACCTCGCGCCTCCTCCACGGGCTCATCAAGGAGCGCGATGCGCTCTGGAAGAACGTCTTCCGCCGCCAGTGGGCCTCGGTCAACTTTGCCATCCCGGCGCCGCTCGTGCTCTCGCCCTTCCTCGCCGCCAAGTACCCTCGGTACGCTTGGCCCATGCATATATCCGAAATCTCATGCGCCCGTAGACACAGCGATGCCTACCATTATCTCTGCCAGGCCATGCGCATGGTGCCATCGACGATGGACCTCGACTTTCTCCACGAGTTTGACGAGGACGACCGCGACGAATACGTGTGCGTGCATATACCTACCTCTGTAGAACCCACTGACGTCACTTGTAGCATCACCGACCTCACGGGCCGCGACGTCGGGGCGCCGCAGCGCTTCGCCATGACAACATTCCTCGATGGCGAATACTCGGAAGGGCGCAGCGTCCGGTCCAACGTGCCCGTCCAGTTCGGTCCTACGGTCGTCGTGCACCGTCCGACCGAGACGGGACCGTTCGTCGTCGACGTCGTCTTGACCGTGTACTTTGAAGTCTCGTTTGCTGCGACGCCCATCGAGTAGGTCGCCATGTTGCAGTCGGTGGGCTCATCTCGCGCGCGTAGGCCGCGGGACCCTGGCGATGCCAACAACGCCAACGGCTTCTTCTCGGTCGGCTTCGTCGCATCGTCCATGGAGCTGCTCGAAAACCATGCTGGTATCGTCGTGCAACCGCAGATGCAAGATCGTAATGTGGTCGTCTAGGCTGGGAGCCATCGTCGTACGGGTACCACAGCAATGATGGCGCGTACATGACCGAGCCCGATGTACGCTGCCTGATCCTCCAACGCGCCGAGCATCATGGTGTGTGTAGGGCCCCGTGGTCGTCGGGACGTACGGGCCTTCGGATACGGTCGGCTGTGGCATTCACTACAACCATGGAGCCACGATCTTTTTGACCAAGAACGGCCGTCGCTTTGGTGCGTCCATGTTCATTTCGGAAGATGCTAAGTCGCGTGCAATTAGACACCGAGTTTGCCATGAACATGGACCGCGGGCTCTTTCCGTGCGTTGGCACCAACACGACGTACCCTATGACAGTCAACTTTGGCGCGACGCCATTCCGCTACTCTCCCTTTGGTATAGCTCCATTCGACCCAGGAAGTGGCGTGTATGTAGCCTTTTCTTGTAGCCACCGACGTGGACGACGCCGAGCGGCGACGGGCGATTGGCAACACCCCGTTGGACTACGAAGGCTACCTCGACAAGTACGAGTCCGAGGAAGACGAGGAGGAATGCGAGGCCGAGTATGACGACGACGACGAGTATGACGACGATGACGACTATGACGGCTCGTACTACGAAGATGACGACTACTTTGACGCGGACGAGGCCGAGTATGACGATGACGCGGACGACGACGAGTACTACGAGAACGACGAGGACCTCATGGAGCAGTACCGGGGCTACTTTTTCGGGCGTGGCGGTGACGACGATGACGACGACGACGAGCACGTACGCATGGCGACGGTCTTGCGGGCGCACCCAGACGTCCAGCGGTTTTTGCACCACCTCTACAGCCACACGACACACGACGTCATGGTGGCTGCTGCCAACGGCGACCCGCGGGAGCTCGTCCAAGCGATGCTGTCGATGGCCAACGACGTCTTGCAGCCGCCACCAGCACCCGTGGTCGCCCGCACGGTGGCCGCACCAGAGGTCACTCGAACCGCCCCGGCGGTCGCTCGTACTGCACCGACAGTCGCTCGCACTGCACCGACAGTCGCCCGGAGCGAAGCGGTGGACCCAGACATGGCGACGCTTGAGGAGGCCATGCAAGATCTGCTGGCCGAGACAACGTCGTCGCCCGAGGCTGCGTACGACTCGGACGAAGAGCTGCGAAGGAAGTACCACGTATCGGACGATCCGCTGGACGAAGTCGATTAGCGCGGTGGCGCCACGACAGTGGATGGTATTGCATGGAAGAAAAAGTTTTGAGATTCAGATTCAACTGTCTTCCAAGCGTCCCAATCTTACTGCAGCGCGTCGATCTGCTTTTGAAGCTCGTCGAGCAGAAACGGAATGTTCTCCGTGTCGATGGCGTTGGCGTCGCAAAAGGCGCGGACCGTCGCGTCCGTGCTCTCGCCGGCGTAGTACAGGAGGATGGCCGACTTGCCCTCGCCGAGATCAATGTCGAGCGTCACCAAGAGCTTGCGCTCGGTCGATGGCGGCGTCGTTTGGGCCATCGCTTCGGCCTCGAGACGGTCCAGCACACCCGTGATCGTCTGGTACAAGACGACCTTGCACGCTTGCATGTCGTCGGCACTCGCGGCCCGGAGCTGCGCCTCACAGAACGCCGCCGCCACGACCGCCGGGTCTTGGTTCGGGTAGAACGACAGCGGCACGTCGGTGCCACCGACGTTGATTGGGATCGTGAGCGCGCGCTCGGTGGTGGCCGTCGCCGCCGCCGACCGCTCGCCGTTGATGGCGTTGATGCGTTCCTGCAAGAGCGACGTGAGCTGCGACAGCAGCGATGCATACTCGGCGCTGGCCGCGAGCCCGTGCGTCTCGAGGAAGAGCTGCGCCGTGAGCTCCGGACTGTCGCCTTCAAAGTAGTTGCACGGCTGCTCCATGGACCCGAGCGTGATCGGCAGCGAGAAGAGCGGCTCGCGCGTCGGCGACGCGCTCTCTGCCTGCACACTCCCCGCCTGCTGCGTCAGCTGGTTCGTAATCATTTGGACAAGCTGCGGCAGTAGCGCGTTGACGGTCGCCGTGTCCGTGAGCCCGTTTTTCTGCAGGAACGCCGTCGCGGACTGCGATGGCTCGGTGTTGTCGTAGTGCACGAGCAGCATGGCCTGGTCGTTGAGCGTCACGGGCAACGAGAAAAGCTCTTTGGGCGAGGCGAGCTCGTCGATGCGGCTCTGGAGCATCTGCGCGATCTGCGGCATGACGTTTTGCATGTAGCCTTCGTCCGTGACGCCGAGCCCCGCGAGAAAGGCGCGCGCTTCCACGAGCGGGTCCTGGCCAGCGTAATGGGCAATCGCGGTGGCTTGGCCATCGATCGTAAGGTCCAGCACAAACTGGGCTGCTGGCTGGCTAGGCGCCGGCGTCGCCTCGTCGCGCACGCGCTCGGTGAGCAAATCGAGGATCTGTGGGTGCGCCTGTGTCTTTGCATCTTCCGAGAGCGCCGAGTCGCGCAAGAAGCGGCTCACCGCGTCGACCGGCGCCTCGTTCTTGTACAGCACAAGGTCCGCGACCGACCCGTCGATGGTCAACGGCATCGTAATGAACACCTCGTCCTTCGGCGCCTTCTCACGGAGCTGGCTCGCAAGGTACTGAACCACCTTTTGCGAATTCTCCGACTCGAGGCCATTGTCGATGAGCCCATGGAGCTCCATGAACGAGACGGCGGCGCTCTCGACGGTCTGGCCGCGGTGCAGCTCGAGGTTCTTCGTGGCGCCGTTGACCGTGACGGGCAGCGAGACGAGGACGTCCTGGGCGGCGCCGATGGCCGCGAGGCAGAAGAGCGCCACGAGCTGGAGCATCGGGGCAGACGAAAGGCAAAGTGAGTGAGAGGGCTCAACCGTGGAAACCAAAACGTTCGAAAAAAGGCGCCTTTGTAATCTAAAGGGGTGTTTTCGCGACCACTTGAAGGGCGCACGCCGATGCTCCCGTGCGTCAAAACAGGATTCTCATCGATCGTCCACGAAGCCCATGTACCGTGTACTTGAGTACGTGCATGGGAGGAACGTCCTGACCTTCACTGTCGCCGCGAGGTGCCCCACGCGATCCAAAAGGGGAACATGGCAGCACCCCCTTTTCGTAATTGTACCGAAAGATCGCAGGCATGTTTGGCCAATCAGCATGGAGGCCGCCAAGTGCAACTAGGATCGACTAAGACCTGCCGCTCGACTAACTAAACTTTGCCGGCCACCACCACAACAATATCCGCACCACACCAACGGTCAACTGTAGCGTCTCGTAATTGGCTTACTTGGGGCCAATCATGTCTTCGGGGCGGACGTAGCGGTCAAACTCTTCGGCCGTGAGCAAGCCGAGCTCGACGACGGCTTCCTTGAGCGTCGTGCCCTCCTTGTGGGCCTTCTTGGCGACCTTGGACGCGTTGTCGTAGCCAATGTGCGAGTTGAGCGCCGTCACGAGCATGAGCGAGTTCTTCATGAGGCGGTCGATCGTGTCGAGGTTGGCTTCAATGCCGACGACGCAGTTGTCGGTGAAGGCGGCGCAGCTGTCACCAATGAGGCGCACGGACGAGATCAAGTTGGAGATCATGACGGGCTTGAAGACGTTGAGCTCAAAGTGGCCGTTCGAGCCGCCGACCGTGACCGCAACGTGGTTGCCAATGACCTGCGCGCACACCATCGTGATGGCTTCGCACTGCGTCGGGTTGACCTTGCCGGGCATGATGCTCGAGCCCGGCTCGTTCGCGGGCAAGTTGAGCTCGCCAAGACCCGAGCGCGGGCCCGACCCGAGGAAGCGGATGTCGTTGGCGATCTTCATGAGCGAGCACGCAATCGTGTTCATGGCACCGCTGGCCTCGACGACCGCGTCGTTGGCCGCGAGCGCCTCAAACTTGTTGGGCGCCGTCACGAACGGAAAGCCCGTCTCGGCCGCGATGATGGCCGCGATTTCCTTGTCGTAGCCCTTGGTCGTGTTGAGGCCCGTGCCGACGGCCGTGCCGCCGAGCGCCAGCTTGTACAAGTTGGGGAGGACGGCCTCGACGCGCTTGATCGAGTACGCGATCTGCTCGCGGTAGCCCGAGAACTCTTGGCCGAGCGTGAGCGGCGTCGCGTCCTGCGTGTGCGTGCGGCCAATCTTGATGATGCCATCAAACTCCTTAACCTTGACGTCAAGCGCGTCGTGGAGCTTGTGGAGGCCCGGGAGGAGCACGCGGTGGATCTCCATGACCGCCGCAATGTGCATCGCGGTCGGGAACGAGTCGTTCGAGGACTGGCCCATGTTGACGTGGTCGTTCGGGTGCACCGGCTTCTTGGAGCCGAGCTCGCCGCCCATGTACTCGATCGCGCGGTTCGAAATCACCTCGTTCGTGTTCATGTTGGACTGCGTGCCCGAGCCGGTCTGGAAGACAACGAGCGGGAAGTGGTCGTCGAGCTTGCCCGAGATGACGTCGTCGGCGGCCTTGATGATGTTCTCCGCGACCGCCGCATCAAGCTTGCCGAGCTTGAGGTTGTACTTGGCAGCACACTTCTTGACGATGCCCATGGCCTTGATGACCGGCATCGGCATGCGCTCGCGGCCACCGCCAATGGGGAAGTTCTGCAGCGAGCGCTGCGTCTGCGCGCCCCAGTACTTGGAGGCGTCGACGTCAACGGCGCCGATCGAGTCGGTCTCCGAGCGCACGGAGCTGGCGAAGCGGGCGTACGCCGGGGCGCGGAGCGAGCGGGTCAAAGCGCGGGTGCTGAGCATCTTGCAAAATGGCCGTCTCCCTTCACTGCCCTTCGCCCCTCGTTGCCACCAGCCAATGGCCTTGCGCCGTGCGCATCGTTGGGCGCCGATATTTTAAACTTAATATTTGTATGATGCAGGAAGGGGGGATACGTATACAGTGGATTCGACTTGGGTGCGCCGTCCGCGATTCGATGCGCTTGCGAGGTTCGTCGGGTTCGCGAGGACAATATTGTGCACACCGTGGAAGGTAAAAGTGGTTTGGGCGCCAACACGAAGAAATCCTAGCCTTCAGGTGTTATTAGCGATGACGTGCCAGTGGTGGTTGCCAAAAAACGTGGCACCTTGCACTTGCGGGCGGGGTTAGGGCAACGACGTGTTATAGCCACAACTTTGGTGGATCTTCTGGTGATCACTAGATTGACCCGGCTAGCCCATCGTGTTGTCGCCGCTCATGCTTAAGATAGCTAGCAACTCATCGACTAGTGGCCTCTCTTCGTTGGGTACGCCCGAGTGATACATCCCTTGGGTGCGCCGGTTGTGTGCACAGAGTATTTCGAAGCCGACATTATAGAGGTGAGTCCCATTATTAGTAAGGTCCCGCGTGGTTCTGGATCGTCATCGCCGCAATTGAGTTGGAGCAGTGGTGTACAGTGTTAACTGTACTGTACAAGCACGATGACAGCGCTGTGGTTCATGGTCGGTGTTCGAACCTCCGTGCGGGAAAGCGCGTCGTTATGTCCACTGCTAGTTTGCGAGACGCATCTTGCGGTCAGTCCAGCAACTCGGACGTAGAAAGTGGAAGCTGTCGTAGAGCTTATCGCGACTCGGGTCGAGAGTCACGACGTGTGCCGACAGTACTAGTAGTATGGCGCTCAAGAACGGTCGTCGAACGGGCGCTCGTACGATCGGCAGGAGCAGTAGCAGGCGCATCGACTCGACTTGAGAATGGTTCTTGCCCGTGGAACTTCCGTACCGCGTGCACGCGCCCTGCGTCATCACCAGGTCCGCTCTCATCAGTTCGCGCCATCCTGAAACGCTCGGCAGAATCCGGATACACCGCACCGGTGCGAATTATCCGGATGGTGGACCGGATAACATCTGTCGTATCCGGGAGTTTGCGATCTTGGCACCACAGAGTCGAATTTGCCGCGTCAACACCCGTGGCAGCGCAGACAGCAATGGACCACGTCTTCCGCGAGCAAGCCGAGAAAATGGAGACGCTCTACAAGGAGAAGCATGACGAAGCTGAAGGACTGCGGCGCCAGCTCATCGAGGCCAAAGCGGAGGTCGACCGCTTGAAGGTACATCCTGGCTCGTCTGGCGACGAGGTCCTTACGCGTACTTGCAGAAGAAGGCGGTGCTCGAGAAGTTCGAAGCCCTCGTGGACGAGCAGCTCGAGACAGCGCTACTGATCTCGCCCGAGGTAGATGCAATTAGTCCATTTCCCCATGGTGTTGACGCACTCTTAGCACTATGAGACCACGCGCGCGAGCTTGGATAACTACTCTGCGCTCACAAACTTTGTGTGGCAGTTCCTCGAGAAGGTGACGTGGCCTCAAGATGCGGCGTCGGACCACGAGTACGATACAGCATGCATGAAGTTCGTCCGAGGCGCTCACGTTTTGGCTGTCGATGCAACATATGCACCGATTTCTTCGAGGCCGGCAAGTTGGTGGTGACGCTACCGTGCGCGCATGTCTTCCACAACGACTGCATCAAGCCGTGGATCACTCGTAACCATGTATGCCCGCTCTGCAAGGCGATCATCGTGCCAACGCCCGAGACCCTCGGCAGTATGAGCCCATGAGTCGAGATCGATGCCCGATGCCAGCAATCGCAAAGTGGGTTCATAACGAAGCGCACATTTTGGTTTTTCTTCTCGTATCGTCTTACATGTACTATTCAAGAGGATGCGTTATCGTTGGCAGAGGGGCGGCATTAGCTACGAGTCAAGAGTGCACACGTTCACTTGCCTGTCCCAGGCAATGGGCACCACCTCA